TCAGTCAGCATATGACTTAGTGATAGATTTTATTTGCTGACAAGGTCATTGTATCGACCATAGAACTTACGAAATGATGACCTTAGACGAGAGTTGATATTGTGATATGATATCATATATATATATATATATATATATATATATATATATATATATATATATATATATATATATATATATATATATATATATATATATATATATATATATATATTTATATATTTATATATATATATATATATATATATATATATATATATATATATATATATATATATATATATATATATATATATATATATATAATGTGATGTATCTCACCTATTCCCTCTATGCTTAATAAAGCTTTAATTGGTGTTCTAGAAAGAAACTTCCCTACTATCCTGCTTCACAAATGTATATGCCACCTTGCAATGCATTTACATAAAGTTTAACATTGCTTGTTAATTTTGTTTTGAATTGTCCATTAGCCAAGACAAGTTTTATATACATGGTTGTAATTAATCAAAACAAATATCTGGAGATTTATAACGAAATAGGGGGAGTTTCATTCATTATCATTACATATAGCATAATTCTCAATCCATGAAAATTGCTAGGAAAGCCAATGCATATGCTGCTTTTTGATGAACCAAGTTTCATACATTCACTCTCTAATTAGCAATTTTAAGCAGAGCTATTTGAAATCCTTAATCACATTTCAAAAACTCCAGTTTCAAGGTTGAATCTTGCTATATTCCTATTGATACCTAAATATGTAGTTTCTCGGGAGATTCCCAACCCAAATCTGGATTACACAATTATAAGAATATATCACACTACTTTACTTAGTGATGGTTACCAATGGTTGTAGAACTGTTAATTATAATAATATTGATATTTTGAAAACATATACTGGTCTTATTCCTAGGAAAAGATACATTACCTGATACATGTAACAAGTTTATTCAAATTTATACTTACCAATAACCAGTTTAGCTGCAATGAAGATATCTGGCACTTTGACAGTGCCAATTTGAACCTGTGATTTTTAGGCTGCAATATTATTTCAGATGCTTGCAATACTAGTATACTTAACTAATCATATTTATGTGTTAATTCCTTTACCTCTGATAAAGAGTCTTTCAATAAACATTATTAATGCCTGTGACCCATGTATGTGCATCAGAACTCTATACAGCTCTGCATGACCATATTGTTCCAGTGTAGTACAAAATGCACAGCAAAGTATAAAATTCTTTTAGGTATAGATGTTTGATTATTTATGACACCAGTTAAAGAGATATATTTTCATATGCAATGAGCCTGAATATAACTAATACTGCTATCAATATGGACTTGATCCAAAACGGAAATTATATATTATTCTGGTGCTCTGATTAAAAACAAAACCAAACTCATTAAAAATGTAAATCAATTGTACATCCTGAAGTCTTAGAATCAGCATTATATACGTACATGTACAAAATTACAAAATATAAGCACCCTGCTAGGAGTTTTCAGATCCAAACACCTTAAAATGTCATCCAAATGCCCTAAGTCAAACAATCAGCATTATCTGTATAAAATTACAAAATATAAGCATCCTTCTAGGACTCTTCTGAGAAATAATTGCTACATTATGAAGAACTTAAGGTACATGTACTTGACAAAGTCTTTCTTTGGGTCACTTCTGATGTCTAAAGATAACTAAATATAGTTAAAATAAGACCATATATTCATTTTGCAACATACAATCTGATGAATATTCTATATGTTTTAATTGCTTTACAGAAGTAATTGTAATATTAACTTTGGTATTTGGAACACTGATATCTTAAATAAAATGGTTACTTCAGATTGACACCTACTCCTCAAGCATTCTACCCTTGACATCTCAAATATCCGACATCTCAATTGAAAGTTATTTCTTGACCAATAATTTCAAGACAATGACGGTTGACTGTATTTACTTTTTTGATTTAATAATTGGTCATCAAGATATACATGTATTCATTAATAAGTGATCACAAAACATTCTTGTACAAGATGTTGCAATTTCCAACCTTTCATTTGCACTATACAGGATCATAACAAAGATATCCTAATTCCAGTAATAGAAGATGGATGTTAATATAAAAATATTTTGCATTTTCCTTTTCATTCAAACTTAATCAATATGAGATTTATAAATTATGTGGTTTAACAATGATAAATCCCCCCTTTTGTAATACAAGATCATTTCATTTCCAATTTAATAGCTAGCAAATAGAATCCTCAACGAGAGCACCTAAAGATACGAGACTTGAGAAAGGCCTTTTCTAGAGGTTTACTGCTCCCAGACCCCACACAATTAAGATCCCTCTGTTTCAAGTCATATATATTGAGTTGGAAGCTCAACTCCAGTGTAAATCTGTAATAACTTATGATATGCAACTGATCTTATGACTTACCTATATAGCAGAGCCTCCTTTTCACAACATTAGTCTAAAATTTCATGAATACAAAGCACTGAACTCCAGGAAAGCTCTGGAGCATTTAAATAAATATAACAATACTCTTTTCTTGGCAAGGTAGGTGGTTTCATTCTCCCTTTTATTTAAATTCATCACATACTAGAGATATGATAAGGAGGTTTGCTTATAGATTTTATTTTTTCTTTATATAATCTAGTGTTCTAACTTTAATTACAAATTCTTTCATGAAACAAGAATTGTAGGGCTTTCTTTGTTTTGATGCTTTCATAAATTGTTTCTTCAAACAAATTATTGTTGAGTCTGAGCCCTGTTGTAAGTAGTGACTAATAGTTGGATTTGAAAGATTCACCAAGTTCTACTTTTACAATTACACAGAACATTGTATCTGTTATATTACATACTACCTGAATTTATATAAAAACTAAATTTAATCTTATTACAAATAGAAACCTAATATAAATGTATAATAGGTCCAGAACATTCTACTAATATAACCGGACATATGGCAAAGTTAAGGCTGCTGTACAATGTGCACCTAATAATAGCACCTATGCACAATCTATTGAATTATTTTGACCTTAGTTTTGAACAATTCCAGGCAACTGCAAGTCTTTTGTCCTTATTATGAGAGAATTCTATGGTAAAATTATAATATGATTTTTTTTTTTTTTTTTTTTTTTTTTTTTTTTTTTTTTTTTTTTTGCAAGATTATTTTATTGTGACATAATTTTGTAGGATTTACTGGTAGTTATATTTAAATATATATATTTTTTTCAGCTTAACTATAAAATATATGGAGATAACGAACAGTATTCAAGCTCAAAAGTCCATTAATCAATACAAAATAGGAGCAGAGCAAACACGGACCTCCAAACATCAGAGGTGGGATCAGGTGCCATGGAGGAGTGAGCATCCTCTGCCGACCGGTCACACCCGCCGTGTGCTCCTTGTCATGATCGGGAAATAACGGAAAAATCCGTCGACAATTCAGTGTGTAAATAATGGCCTAACAATTAGTGTGAAAAACGTCAGTCAGCATTTGACTCAATGATAAATTGTATTTGCTGACAAGGTCATTGTATCGACCATAGAACTTACGAAATGATGACTTTAAACGAGACAGCTGATATTCTTGTTTCATCAACTTATTTGTCAATAATTTACCTCGTTTTAGAAATTGTACATACGTAGAGCACGCTCTTGCGTATCGAATCAACTGAGAGATATATACCCCGTATGCAGGTGATGAAGGTATATTGCTGCATAAGTAAGGGAAGTTGACGACTGAAAAGTTAAAGTCATCACGTTTATCATAAAGTTTGGTTGTTAGATTATCATTAACGTCTTTTTCAAGTAAAATATCCAAATATGGAACAGATATGTCAGAATCTGTGGTATCTTTTATCTCAAGTTCACAAGGATATATCGTATCGACATAAGAATGGAAATAGCCATTGTTAATTGACAATACATCGTCGATATATCTAAATGTCGAGTTGAAGGCCACAGCAATTATGTCTGGTACTTTTATCTGGTACTTTTGTTTGAAATTTAACTTAATAGATTTACCTTAGTAAGCCCCCCCCCCCCTTTCTTTAAAAATAGAAATAAATTCTACACTCTAAGCTTGAAAGATAACACTTTAAGCAAGGATCTACACTCTAAGCTTGAAAGATAACACTTTAAGCAAGGATATTTTAGAAGCATATCTATGCACTGTATAAGCAGACTATTGCTTATATTTTGGTCTCATTCTACAATGGCAAAGATTAATCAAGTATAAACATTCAACCGATTTATGTATCTCAAAGGTGTTGGATGTACCTGATATATTGGATTGTGATGATACATATTTTCAATGTCTGGTTTTCCAACTGTTTCACAGATTATTTGCTATTCTTTTCTTTGACGTATTTGGGCCCATCCTCTCTGTGTCCACAAAAAGGTCCGACCGAGTTTCCATATTGTTGTTCCCCTATTCTGGCTTTGCATTTTCCGATTTCGACGCAGTATGAAACAAAATAATTAATGTTGATAACCAGTATTTGATCATTTAATGACAATACAAAGGTAAAGTAATTATTTTTTGGCATAACCGCGTGTGTGTCGTCTGCTGCGTAAATATTTTGAAATCCAACATCATCCGCCTTATTTAATAAACATCAACAGTAATAAAAGTTTTAAAATGGTTGCAAAACAATACATAAATGGAAAATTATACGATTTTTGAAAATTACAAAGCAAAAATTAGATGTATTTTTTGCAAGCATTTGTTATGCGTCTTTACTTTTGAAAGGTTCAGCAGAAAGGAATGTGAAGAACAAACCCGACCCTTTATATAGACAACGTTTGCTGTGTCATCCAAGCCCGAAAAGCCAACGCACAAGGGACCTATATAATAGTATATAGGTCCCTGCAAATATATTTTTCTCGTAAAAAAAAGGCATCTATTTTGTATACACAAATAGATGCTAATATTCTAATTTTTGGACTCAAATTATTTGAATTTATTGTTAGAATATGTGTACCAAATTTGGTTAGAATATGACGTAAAATAAAAAAATGTTATGACAAAAGTTTACAAATTCTTTTTGATTGACCCTCGTACAACATCACGACGTCATTGTAGTAAAATAATAGTTATCATTTTACTATCTTGTATTAATTTTTCATTTTGAAGTATATTAAATAAAATATTTGACGTATTATATTTTATAGACGTTTGTCAAACAAGAAAGTTGGGATAAAAAGACCTTGAATGAATTTCAGACTTCAAAGTACAAAAAATAAATTACATATAATTAAAGTACTTGGCACATAAAGCTTTTTTTTTTCAATTAAGGAAGTTGGGATTAAAGCATGCCAAATTCAATTTTTCATTTTGAATTTTCCAGCGTGCAGAGGTAACCGATATCTCAAAAACAGTCTTGAATGACTTAAAGAGTGGTTTACAAAGAGTAAGATTTGGAAAGATATTTTTAGAAGTCTTAAATGCTCATTTTAGCTCGTATGTATTCAACAAGGCCTGAAACCTCACATGTTGTAGGAAAATGATGTTATTTAGAATTAAAAATTATTTCATTATGAAACTGCCTTGAAATATGTCATGAACTAACACACATTCGGGAAATTAATCACAAGCTCATACAAGGAAGTTGAGTATTTTGAATGCTATTAGTTGTAATATTTTTTTCAATATGTTATGGCGAATTATTTCAATTTTGTATTTCATATCCATAAATTGTGCTGATAGTCGACGATGTAAAGGGTAGACTGTTATAGATATCATTTGATTGTTTTCTTTTTTTCTTTTTTTTTTTTAATGTTTTTTCTTTGCAGCATTCCATTGATTATCTTTTTTTTTATATGCATTTATTTCACAGGGCTGGAGAACATGTGTGCTGCGCTGGATTTCGTTTGAACAAAAGTACTGATAAATGTGAAGGTATTCTAAAAATATTGACAAATGATTTATAAGTGATAGTCATTTTTTGGACTAAAAAATCAAACTTTCCGAATTAATACTACTAATAAATACGTTTCAAGTTTTATTATTAATTTCAAAGTTAGAAACCTCCATATAGATTATATTATAATGGTGTGGCTATGGGCTTAAGTATATTCTCTTTTTCAGAGTGTCCAATCGGATTTTATCATTGGAATTGTGCAAAAAAATGTTCTTATCCAACCTACGGTAGAGATTGCCAGAAAAAATGTGATTGTAATGAAAGTCTATGCAGTTTTTCTTTTGGGTGCATTAAGTCCGAGTGTGAGTATTTGTGAAATATCACTAGTGTGGTATTCATCTATACCAGTTACAAATGAATCTAAGTTAGCAAGTATTTTCTTTTATACAAATTATCTTTCAAAAGCAACTGTATATACAAGGTTACAACACATCTACGATGCAAATATATAACCTTCAAAATATTTTAATAAAATTAAAAATAGATGCACATATTTTAAATGACCAAAGAGATCGCATTGACGATTATAATTTATATGCACATTCATGTGTCGGAAGACATATATAAGATACTTATTAGTTAACTAGTTGGACAATAAAGCAGGTTTTGTGATGGATTTTAATAAAAATTTGAAAAATAAATCTTTTACAATAATTTTAAGTTGTTGATTTGTATTTTTTGCCATTTTTTGTAAAGACTTTATTAGCAAATCAGTTTTGGTGTTTTTTTAATTTCAATTTAAAATAACAATATATGTTCACCTTTTAAAATCTGAAAAACAGTTAGGATCTATAATGAATGAACAAATTTAATGAATAATTTTAAGGGAGTATTACATTATTGTATAAGCTGGTATTATTATTTTAGATCAAACGCAAATCCAAACCAAAGTAACTCGACTATTAAAGAAAAAGTCAGAGCGCACACTTCATTATGATGTGGACCTTTCCACATTCCAATTTCACTTAATTACAAAGGGAATAGACAGTAAATCTGAAACAATCACAGGATCCAGAACATCAACTGCAAACACAAAGACTTCAAGTCAACAGAAAAATGTATTCCCTACTCACATCTTATTTATAATAAGTTGTTCAATAGCAGTCTTTGTCGTATTATTTGGTGTCTATGTTGTGATCACAGTTTATAGAAATTGTTTTATGAAGAAAGAGCCAATCAATCAGGTGGATCAAAAAGCTCCAAACAAAGATCGCAGGTATTTTCAAGTTAAAAGAGCAATTCAGGAACAGCGTGTTGAGCTTCAACAATTAGGACAGAGCTATTCGTGCGACGATTCGATGTATTTATCCCCATCATATCTTGCAGATCCTCAATATGAGAAAATTGATGCATATGATCTTTCTCCGGATTGTTTTTCATTGGAAAAAATTCAAAGTTCGAGTGAATTTTCTAGGAATAAAGAGATATCAAATGAACTGGAAGAAGAAACTTATTTGACGCCAATATCTGATCGTCATGACTATGTTGAAGTTACTGGTTAGAGAATTTTGCTTAAGAAATGATTTGGTGGCGGTATTGATTTAAAATTATTTCTTAATATAAATTAACAATAACTAAAAAAAAAAAAGACTAAAAAATAGAGTAAATGATTCAAGATAAATCTTCACCCCGAAGAACGTTGTAACTTCTTCAGTCCACCAAGAGTGCCCTTCGCCGATAATTGTCATTTTCCCGAGAAGAAATGAGAAATAAATTAGTGTACCCCAAAATCCGCGCAATTAACACAGAATATACAAAATGTAAAGAAGATATATACACATCACCTTATACAATCCAGTTCCTTGTACATTTTGGTATCCTGATGTTATCTTTTATTTTCTTACTATCGTAATGTTTTAGATTAGTGGCAAACCCATTTTTCTTTGTGATTTCATTCAAAAAAAGTATAGTTGAATTTATTTATTTTTTGTCATTATGATAAATAAATACATGTATCTGGTGAATGTATGACATTAGTAGTATATTCTGCATATTTTTGTGCAGTTGATTTTCATAACAAATGTATAACTATAGCTTTGAGCAATTTTGTTTGCATTTATTATTTAAGTATTTAAGATCCCCAACGTTTTTTGAATAGACTTATGACTTGCATATGCCAGAGTGTTCGTACTATAGCTGTTTCGCAAGTGAAAACATAATCAATTATAGAATGTTTGAAGCATGAAAATTAAAAACAAAAAGATACTTACTACTCGATATATTGAAATTCAAGGGAATAACACATTATTTTAATAAAATTTTAAATAATATTTTAATAATTTAAATTTATCTTCTAATCTCAACAAAAGTTTTTTTTTCTTTCTAATACATGCGTTATTTTATGATTATGTATACTTAAAGGGAAAATGTAATTTGTGTCTGTATAAAAAAAGGTTTCCTCAAATAAGTGGGGAATCTAAAAACTTGTCATGTGTACTATCAATATAAAAATCAACATCTTTTTCAAATTTAAAAAGGAAGTTATAGATGAAATATGCAAAATATTAAATGTCCCTCATTAATGCTATGGTATCATATCTATTTCCGCTATTTACGATGCAGTTATCAAACCAAAATCTGGAAACAAAGATTTGTGTATCGTATATCCTTCCATTGTTCCTGACCTGCTAAGTTAGAAAAAAAGTCAGTACACCAAATCACAAAGGCGGATCAATTTGTGGTGGAAGATCCAGGAAGTTCGAACACCCTCAATGTTTTACAGAGTGATTTAATTAATAAAATAAAGTAAATATATACCTTTGGTCTCTACAGAAATATAAACCACTCATAATTTGTTTTTTGCTCTTTTGGTGTTAAACACTTCTGTGAACGTAAACTTTGAAAAGTTCTTCTTCAGTCAGAATAAGAACCGGCGTTGTGGAGTGAGACTTCTCCCATAGCCAGACCTCCCCTCGGAGGTCTGGTCCTAGAGTTAGATATCCCTCTGGGGGAATTTCGACTCTAGTAGGAGAGGAACCCGGGGAAGTTTCACTCTAGAGCTGCACTTTTCTGCAGGAAGACCTTTTCAACTACCAGTTGTGGAGTAAAACTTATCCCATAGCAGGTCTTCTCCTTTCCTTTAATCTTGCTCTTACTAGCACTACAATCACTCTTTAGAGATACATGTACTTTAGACACAATACATTTACAACGGTGCATTAATTGCAACCGCTTTCACTGAGAGTGGAAGATATTACTTTGGGTCTTAAAGTCCGTTTGTTCCTCCGCCCGAGTAGTTGATATTCTGTCCATGCCTAACACGTTCGTTTTTGGAATATTTAAAAATATTTTGATCTCTTGCAATGGAATTTTAAATTTTCATTTCGTATGGGTTAGATAAATACGCTGTACTTTTAGTATATATTAACGGTTAATATAATTTTTATGTCAGGTGACTTACTGCTATCTGTTTTCGTCCGTCGTCGTGCGTTAACATTTGAATATTTTCAGCTTCTTCTCTGCAACCGCTGAATTAATTTCAACCGATTTGGCATAAAACATCTATAAAAGACAAACATTCTGAATTTCAAGGTCCCCCCCCCCCCCCCCCGGCGTCTTAGGTGTGGGACCGAAATAATAATTTACAATCAAAATGAGTGCAATCTTTAAAAATCTTCTTTTTACTCCTGGACGTCAAGTGTTCAAACTGTTAGCATGTTTGTAATAAGCATTGAGCCCTCTACCAAAATTTTGAAATTCATTGCACTAGGGTCAGGGTTTCTGGAGTTAGGGTTGGGCTCTTATGATCAGTAATATCGTAAAAAACGTAATATAGTAAAAATGTATAAATTCTTTTAAAAAATCTTCTTTTCTCCCCCTGTATGTAAAGCAGATAAACTAGGTGCATGGTTATGATGATCAAGGGTCCCTCTTTCAAAATTGTGAAATTTGTGGCCTGAGGGTGAGGGGTTCTGCGGGGGGGGGGGGGGGTGTGACTCTATTGATTATTTATTTAAGGTGCATGATTTCTTTAAAAATCTTTTTGTCCCTAGATATTTAGCAGATAAACCAAGTTTATAGTTATGATGAGCAAGGTTGCCTCTTCCAAAATCGTGAATATCTTGGCACCTGGGTCAGGGATCTGGTGTTATGGCGAGGATCTATTGATCGTATAGATAATTGCAGTAATTCTTTGCAAATATTATTCTCTGCTCCTAGGTATTTAGCAGATAAAACAAATGTATACATGTAGCTAGGGTGAGCAAGGATGCCTTTTCCAAAAGAAGATGGGTGAACAAGGCGGGCAAAGTGCCTATAGTGCGACAAACATGAAGTGAAAAATAAAATCTCAATTTTATCAAAATTTTCTTTGATATTTCATCTAACATTAAAGTATACTTTATGTAAAATCTCTACAATTTATAAAACTCTCACAAAGACTTAAGTTTTTAGCCTACGAAATAGCATACACACACTAAGGAGGACAAAAAGGATCATTTTCTCATACTTAAACAACATTTTACGGATATGAGTGGGTCTTCGCTCCATTTCTTTGAAAGTTAATCCTAAAAAATAGCATATAAATATACATTGTTTGGTTTACAAAAACATGAGCAAAAACCAACTATATCTTAAAAGAACACTTTTATGACAAATCATTCGCATCTTTCTGTGAAATACCTGAAGTCCATTCAGTCAAGAGTCATATCATAAATATGATTTAAATACCACTATCCATCAGGAGCTATGTAGCGTAGTGGTTAGTGTGTTAATCTCAAAGCAATATGATTTTTATTGTTAGGAGTTCGAATCCCACGAATACCATTTAACTTTTTTATTATAAGAATAATTTTTTTCCGAGATTTTTTTTTCTCAGAAAAGTTTTGTTGATCATAATTTCATAAATTTCAATAATGAGAATTTTACTTTGAATACTTAATTCACAAATTGAATATGATTTTAATATCTGAAGCTATAGGCATTCTGCACGCTTTGTTCACCCATCTTCTGTTAAAATTTGTGGCCCTTTGATCAGCTAGGGGTTCATCGGGCGGTCTATTTATTACTTTTGTATAAATGACCTATATATTTTATAACATAAAACATAAAATTTAAATATTCCTTATCCTGTCTAATAAGTTCAAAAGCTATTATTTTTCTCATAAATTATCAAAAAGTCAGTATTTATCTTAATGGGTAGGGGGTGTTTCACACTATATACGAAACAAAACTTTATAACTGGAAAACATGGCCCTAGAATGGTCCTTCCTCAAGGGGATACATGTAGTATCACTCCAGAGCAATTTATGCGGGGGAAGTAATGCCCTGAAGTTGGGCTTCCCCTTTGCATAGACTTATATACTCTCATTTGATCCTTTTGGAGGGAAGTATGGCTCTGGAGGGGAAGCATAACTCTAGAGTTAGACTTTTCGTAAGGGGGGGGGGGGCACTCTAGAACAAGAATTCCGGGAGAAGTCTAACTATGGAGGAAAGTTTCGCTCTAACTCAGGTACACAATAAATCCCATGCAATTTACATCATGGGATAAAAGGCAGCGTGTGTATATCTATTAAATTTGAGTTGAATACAGCAGCTTTGAAGTCACATAATATTATTTCAAAAAGAGCACTGCATGTGCATATTTTCAAGTGAATTTGCATGTATTTTTTTTTCAGCAGTACACTTACCAATCAAATCTTGAAAAAATTGTCAAATATAGAATATACTTGTCTGGGTATTATTATAGGTCTGTTCTGAAATGAACACTGAAAAACAAAATGATGGAAATTACTCGCATTTATATATGTTGAAGAATTTGAAATTGCGATATGCACTTGGTGCATTTTTTCCATATGAATTGTCGTATAATTTCTTAACACACCATGAACAGACGGAATACATATAGACGTGCATAATGTATCAGTTCATGTATTCAACCAAGAATTGTAAATAAATTGTACGCAATCATTTGCAACTCTTGTACACGGTTTATATCGTTTTTTTAGATATCATTTTAGAAAAAGAATTATAATCATCGGTGACTTAGTCGCTCTTCAAATACTTTATATGAAGTTACTATTTACGTACAATATCAACTTGCAAAAGTGAAGATGGACGGAGTTTTTAAGTGACTTTTTTAGACTTAGGTACCTGTATACACTAAGAAGTTTTAAGAATCCCAGTCCAAAATATTTACTCTTTCAAATTGTGTTTTATCATCATCATTTTCAGAGGAAAAAAAATATCATTGATAAGTAACTATTGACATTTTTGGAAGCAACATTGTGATTTATTTCATTTTATAAAAAGCATCGTGTGATTTTACTTAAATCTTTAATCATTTGAATTAAAAGTTTAAATAAATAAGAATTATTATATTTTACATCATTGAATGAAAAACAAATATGGACAACTGATCATCGACATTGTACTATAAGCTTGCAGGAGTTACTTGTTCTTTGTCACCACCACTGCTGAACATCTTCAATGCACCCAAGGACCCAAGACTTTAAATACCCTAACCTGTTATTTTCTATTCCACAGTATGACAGATTGTTTTCAC